GATATATATATATTTATATATATATTTAAACTCGTAGAAAAATGTATGGGAGAATATAACACAAACCCTAAATTGTTCCGGATTGGGACCGGAGAAATCTTCATCTGAATGGAAAAAGATTATTTTTTAATCTGTTTCATAAATCTCTATTTTTTTATTATAACTCTCATTTTTAAATTTTCATGTGATTTTTATGCACTTCATATTTTTATCTTTTATTCATATATTTAATTTAATATCACGTTTTCTTAATATGCGAAGTTTTCGCCTGTCAACTGCGTGCTCTTCTTCGTTCATTTGTGGCGAGAAACCACGCAATATCCATTTCAAATAGATATTTAAATATATTTGTATTTGTCGAAAACAAGAGAATTCTAGTGCAGTCTAATGCAGGAACAAAAAATAGACCAAAAGATCAAAAAACAAGCTAATTTATATCAATTTACTAAAAAATAGAATTTCACATTTTAGACATTTCGTTACTTGTCGAAAAATTTCTCGTGAAACTATTTCACATTTTATAACAACCAAAAAAGTTACTCGCTTATTCATTCATGTGAATTTGTTCACTTTTTGTGTGTTCATTTTTAGGGGAAACTTTACATAATCTCTTGAAATCATAGATGATAATAGAGTTGAAACTTTTCACTTTTCACGTTTTTTCGCTCTAAGGAAAAAGTTATATGATTGACCCCTGAAGGAATCTTAAAACATGGAGATGAAGTTTTAAAACATGATCTTGCAGACAATTTTATAATATGTGCATCTTCGAACCGAACAATTTTCCCCTGTGGTATTTTCTTGCATGATAAAAAAAGCGGAGGTATTTAAAATTGAATTTATAGGAAATATTCTGTATATTATTAATTTTAATTTATCATAGTTGTAATCATAAACATAGGTTATTTCATTTTTGAATATTTTTTATTACGTACGCACGCACGCACGCACACCCAAGTGTGCGAGATTGTTTCCTAGATATATAATTACTTATTAATAAAACAAAAGACTTTTTAATATATTTTATAAGCAGTTTTATCGATTGTAAGTATGCTGAAACATATTTAATATGTTTTGCAAGAGTTTTTATTGTGTTGTGGATGTTTGTATGGAAATGATATTCGTGTCCAAGGAAGCCTGACTCGAAGCTTTTTAGTTGGCCGCAGCGTTTCGTCTCAGTACTAAACTCATCCTCACTACTAAACTCATCAGTAAGGCAATGTAGTGTGAGCCCTGCCTTACATGCCTGGAATAAATTTAGATTGATGTTTTATTTAAAGGGAATTCGCATGATTGCGATGCTCGCGCGAATCCGAGCAAGTCCCATTGGTAGCGAGTCATGTTATAAACAGTATTATAAATTTAGAACAAGACCGCTAATATAAATACGTCAACTAACAATAAATAAGAGAAGCGCAAATTACGATCAAAGTTATTGAATAACATCTCTATATGTAAAATGTATTTAAATACATTTTATTTAAAATATATTTTATTTTAAATACATTTATTTCAGATATCTGCCGATTACATTCGAACTATTGGGAGTACAAATTAGTTCGATCCGTTTTTTGTGCATTTATTTCAAAACAAAATGAATGAACAGATCAATTAAAGTATTGTTCATCACTGCCTACTACTTTTTCCCATCTCTTAGGCAATTTTTGAATTCCATCTCGAAAAAATGATTCGTCTTTGGAGGCGATCCAATTTTGGAATCAATTTTCGATTTCTGCGAAAGAAGTGAACCGGTGACTTGTTGCATCCTTCGGAATAACCAGTAATTAGAAGGAGCAATGTCCGAAGAATACGGCAATAAAACATCCCATTTGAGCGTTTCCAAATATTTTTTTACGACTTCAGCAACATGAGCATTGTCATGAAGAAGAATAACTTTATCATGTCTTTGCTCGTATTCCGACCGTTTTTCTTGCAATGCACGGCTCAATTGTAGCCGATACCGATCGCCCGTAATGGAATCACCAGGTTTCAGCAGCTCATAATAAACAAGACCCTTTTGGTCCCACCAGATACAGAGCATGATCTTCGAATCATGAATATTCGGCCGTGATGTTGAGCTCGATGGCAACGATTGACCGGGCTTAGCGTAGTATTTTTTCTTCTTGAGGTTGTCATAGAATATTCACTTCTCATCTCCAGTCACAATCCGATGCAAAAAACCTTTTCTCTGTTATCTTTGAATCAGCTGTTCGCAAAGGAAAAATCGCCTTCTCTTGGTTTCGGCATCATAAGGCAATTTCCTTGTTTTTGAATCATTCCCATAGTTCTCAATCGTACAGAAACGGCTTGTTGAGTTACTCTCAATAATTCTGCAAGCTCCTCTTGCGTTTGACTCTGATCTTCTTCGAGTAATGCCTCTAATTCTTTGTCTTCGAATTTTTTTGGCTGTCCAAAGTGAGGCTTGTCTTCAACGCTGAAATCTCCATCCTTGAAACATCGAAACCATTCCCTACATGATTTATCAGTTGGAGCAGTGCCATAAATTTCGACAAGCATTCGATGGGCTTCAGCCCACTTTTCTTCCAATTAAAGCAGAAAATCAAAACCACCCGCAAATGCTGCTTGATTAACACAAAATTCGACATTTCAAACACAGTAAAAATCAAAGTTTTTGTATGAAACTCAAAGCGATATAAACTGAATTATTAACAGATGTTTAACCTCTCTGAAACCGCCAAAATCA